ATGACAAAAACTCGCAGAGTTATTTAAACGGTTTTGCGAAATTTCTGTCAGACCCCTAACCCAAACAAAACAGTAAACAAGTCATTTACATAAGCAAAATATATTTTTATGAAAATCACTTTCACACAATTAATCAAGCCGGTCATTAACATTTGGCCATAAATTTTCATCAACATCACAGTGGATGTCTTCGTTGTTCAGGCACCGTGGGAAAAATCTCCTGGCATGACGAATCCAGGCTTGACATTGCTCAGCAGTTATATCACCACAAGCTTCACCCATGGCTTGACGAAGGGAGACATGCTCATGGGGATGGCTATCATATACCTTCCACCTCCATGTAGAGAAGGGGGTTGAGGAAAGGGGAATATGGTGGAAGATAGAGGGTCGTGAAGCGAGGATGTGTTTGAAACCATCCCCGAACCAGCTGTGCATGGTGGAAGCTGACATTGTCCCACACAACAACATAGATGATGTCTTCTCCCTGACAGGCCTGCTCAAGCTCATTTTGAAAATCCATGGACATAATGAATGATTCATTGATTAAACATTAAGATCAGTTGAATTAAATGACAGACAAATGTATTAAACTGAATAATACGAGATGCAAATCAAAAATTTGATAGTGATAACATTATGAAAGGCAGTTACTGTGAACGAAACATTTATTTAGATGAAACACTTATTTTGTGTAGTGAAAAGGATATTTAGTGATTATGTGTATTGTACTAACATAATTGAAAATATGCTGAAATGTTTGAAAAAAGTGCACTTTTGATGACCTGTTGTGATATAAGTACTAAGAGTTTTGAAAATGTACCAATTGTTTGTGAAAACTGCGGCAAACCAATTAAAAAAAAAAATTACAATAACAATAATAATAATTGATATTTTTATTAATTTTCGTGGGGAAATTCTCTTTACTCCTCCCCCAACTTGCTCTACGTTGGTTGAGAGTCAGCTAGCTGCGAAGCGCAATGCCCAGGGAGCTGGGGGTTAAGGGCCTTGAAAGTTAAAGTATCCTTATGTATTATATATTATTATAAAGAAAACCGTAATTATTATTATTATTATTATTATTATTATTAATTTTACCTTTTTTTTAACACAGCTGCAACACAGAGAGCGAGTGGTACCAGATACACGACAACATCATCCGCAAAACGAGTTCCAGGTATAGCCTGCTGGGCTCCAGCACAGGTAAGGGGATCCCGCATTCCTCTCGGAGTAACTGGAGATCCCGAAGTCATGAGCGTAGAGAAGCTGCCTGGGTTTGGGCGTCTCGGGTCTGCAGCAGTTAAGCTGATTGATGGTGTGAAACACATTCACAGTACATGTGTGAACGAGTGCATGTGAGGTGTGAACGAGTGCATGTGAGGTGTGCATGTGATGCGTGAAGAAGCCGTGAGCTCTGTGGGTGTGTGAAGGAGCCGCTCGCCTTTGTGCAGGGCAGAGGCTGCGGTGGAGGCCTTGCAGCAGGAACACCCCTGTCCCAGCTAGAGGTCTCTGAGAGCCCTCAGCCTGATGGTAAGATCTCAGCACCTCACTTAGAAACAGCCTCCCCGCAGAATCACGTCGGCCTCAGTTTCTAATAATATTTCAGCCTGTCACCTCATATCGCATAGATGGCACGTTCATAATTGCAGACCTCATATCGCATAGATGGCACGTTCAGAATTGCAGACCT